TGCCACAAGTACTCCTTTTCTTTTTGCAGATACAGACTAACATGGCTGCTACTCTGAAACATTTCTAAATGTTTTTCATAGCCCAGGAACAAACAGTGTGAGCAACTAGTACCTGAAGTATCAGGCTGCTGGCAAACGTCTTTTCAGGATCCTCTAGTTTGAAGGCTAATTTCAATGGCATTATATTTCCTCTGTGGCTTTTCTGAAGAGATCACCAGTCATAAAGGTTTATGAGATTTCAATGGAGGTGAATGATGGAAGATCAGAAAAAAGGCTTTTTTTTCTGGATATTGTTAAGTATCAGGTGTTTACATGCTCTTTAAAAGCTTTGCAGTAAAAGCCACAGTTTGTTTCCATAACTCAGGGCTTCTCTTCATGAATACTTAGTTTGCAGTGAGCTAGGGTGTAAACGTACCCCTCAGTATCCTGCCATTGACTAAAAGTTCCCTAGTGCATTTTGATCTTTCCCACTTTGAAATGGGAGTAGATCAAAGCGCACTAGGGAACTTTTAGTGTGTGGCAACAGTTACCACATGGACACTTAGCACATGGCAGGCATGTGAGGGGTAGATTTACACCCCAGCTTACCATGAACTAAATGTTTGTGTACATAAGCTCTCACGCAGTGACAGCTGCTGTTTGCACATTAGCACCATTGTTGGGAATCATTTTACCTACTAGTACAATATAGGTTAAGATACAACTCATCTCTTTGGGACTTCAACTACACTGGTTAGGAATCCAGTCCAGACAGTGCATCATTTAGTCTAGAAGAGGATTCAGATGAAATGGTCAGCCACAAAATGTGGGTAGCAGTTCTGAAATCAGTTTACTTGTAGGTCAAAATTAAGCAAGAATATGCTTATAGTGATGCTGAAACAACATCCTAAAATTGCAGCAGTAGGCCCTTAAAACTGTTTACATGCCGATTACAGTATTTACAATTAGGATCTTAATCTACAATAATCATAAAAGGGTTTTCAAAATGCTCTTAGATACCAGTTTCCAAAACTAATGCAAACGTATATGTGCAGCAAACGTCAGACCACCTTCTGGCAACAGAGGAAACTGATCTGTCTATCCAGATAGATATGGGAGTATGGAACAGATAATACAACTCATCTCAGAAATAGGCAGCAAGATGAGGCAGTAAAAACCCATCAACATACATCATTCGATCATGGTACAGTGTCATCTTCCAGCCTCTATTAGCCCTCACTGCATCAGTGCAAGTCCCAGACACTTTATCCTGTTTATAATTGCTGATGAGCAGTAATAAGGCCTCCATGCCTCAGCTCCCGTCCGTTCCACTTCAGCGCCCACCTATTAGGTAATAACTTTTATTTACAGCCTTGCTTGATGCGCTGTTTTATTAGTATAGCCAAGAACTGAGCCGGGTAAAAAAAGTGTCTCTAATGGGCACTATAATTGCCAGGGCTGGGAGATTTATAACGCAGCTCTGTGGCTGTTCTAGCATCCTATTCCTTCTGGTGAGAAGGCTCTAGGAAGGTTGGATTGCTAACACAGTGCCCTCCAACAGTAAAACACTAAAGAGCACCTTAAAGAGCACCTCAAAAGGTCAATTGGAACAACAACAAAAACCTCTCAAAGTTGTTTTTATAATAAAAAAATCCGTCACTAACCTTTTTTATATTGTTAGCTCAGACACTTTACCACTGCAGAGCAATAGAATATCTAATTAATGGTAGACCAGAGCTTTTTGTCCTTACTAGACGTGTAAGGGATGATAAAAAGTGATCATAAAAAGGAAGTTTCAGCCACAGCCAAAGCCAAGGAGCCATTCATTTGACTGGTATTTCCATACTGTCTGTGCTAGCAGTTCCCAAAAGGTTGTCATCTCAGGCAATATGGGCTCAATCCTGCAAGGGGCTGAGCATTTTGGCACTGATCTAGCAAAACACTTAAGCACATGCCTAAATTTAAAGATCAGTGTTAGAGGCTCAGCACCTCGTAGGATTGAGCCCCAAACAAGGAGAAGCATACAGCATACTCCTAAAACTGAAACTCTGGACCATAAAAGTACCACCTGACATGCAAAATAAAGTTCTGATATGTTAGCACCAAGACAAAATTACAAATGACGTGCACACATATCTTTATATGATATGAAAATCCTTCGTTTCCATGACCTCCCATGAGAAGTGGAGTAAGGCACAACTATATGGATAAACTCTGTGGATTGTTTGTATCATTATTGCAACTGATCTGTTTCTACTGCACTCTCTTTTTCAAGCACAATTAAGAATTAGCAGAGTGCATTCAAGGAGTTTCACTGACCTTTCCAGAAAATCTCTAAATTGTATGAAAATGCTTTAAAATCCAGCTGTTATGATTTACATATTCAGTCTTAGAGTCATATAGCAGAAGAGCAATAAAATCCTTTTATGCTATTTAATACTGTACTTTCATGACAAAGGCACGAGTATAAAAGGAGTAAGGATGCCAACCTGAGTTAAAAAAGCTTTACTGCAATAATGTCAGCCATTAATCTGGACATGAATTCTAACCAATAAAAGACAAATTAAGATACATAAAAAACCACTCAGCAGGCCAGAGCCCAACATCTTTTCTACAACATTCTCACACGTCTGGCTCTTCAAAACCTTTAAGGCCTCGCCCCAGCTAGTCATTCTTAGACTTTTCATTCTTTTCTATCATAATCCTTGTCCTTTGGACACACTTCAGAATATAAATACTTTTACAACCAGACCATCAATTCTGACAAAGGGAGAAAAACACTATTTGGTGTCATAATGTGACTTTTTGTCAGAGGGCTGCTCCAGAATCCAAGCTGACAAGTGCACAGGGTAAAAACTATTCTTTTAAAAAACACTTTTTCCTTGTCTTGACAGATTTATTGTTTTGATCTTTCTTCAATGGTTACACTAAATGCTAATAAAATGTGAAAGGTTTATGTCTTCCTTAATATTCTCCTGATGGGAGCCAGCATATTACATAAGTAGGTCAAATTTCTAATTTTCTCTCTCAAATACTGATACTGCAGACCTAAGGGAAAACCTACACTGGGGTGGGGGAGAGAGATGCAGATGAACTCACACCAAAACATTCTTCTTTAAAGCTCAGACCTGAGGAAACGCAGGATTCTTACAAAAGGAAGTATTTATGCAAAGTGTAGTATATACAGTTTTTATCCACTGAACTAACCAACTTCCTAGGAACAAGCACACAAATTGAAATGTGGCTACAGTTATCTTGAGTATAATATGCAACATTCACCTCCAGTAGCCTTATCAGCCCACCTCTCAATCCCAGCTCAGTTTAAGACTTTATATACATATAGTAAACCTCTTTGTAACCCACACTACTATTAAATATTTTTATTTAACTGGATTCCGAAACACTGCCCCAGAAAACAGCCATTTCTTCTTCAAGCACCACTGAGAAAATTTGATTGAAATGTAAGTTTTGAAAAAAGTAATTTTAACAAAACTTAGATTTTTTTTTTTTAATTATTACAACTGGTGCTTTAAAAAAAAAATTCTACATTTCCTGTATTACTTGCACCCAAAAAGAATTGCTTGCAAGCTAGACCTTCCCACATTGTGCAAGAACTTGAGAACTTTAAACTTGAATTGACTAGCTTATTTCCACTGTCAGACCTAGGAGAAATGCTAAAAGTAAGCAAAACATAAATAGTGACAAAAATGTGAAATTTAAAATACTGGCATTTTTGTGGGTAATTATGATTTTTTTCTTTAGAAAGTAACCTTTTAACTCCTTCAGTAGAGTGAAAGACTACAACTGAATCACATAGACCCTGACCAGTGAACGGAAAGCATTTTCAAAAAGAGGCTTGGGGAAAATAAGAAAACTACAAACAATGCAAAACAAATCTGCTTTACTCAATTGGCTATTATACTAAAGGAGAGACTGGTAACCCAAACAGCAAGTTCTCTTTGCATTTTTGTTGATAGCTTCTAAAACAACATTGCATATGACAAATATACCAGAATAAAGGGACCAAAAATCTCTCTAGATTACTAGCATAGACTTGGAATAAGAAAGCTACTGGGAAAAACATCTTAATGTTTAATGGGACATTTCTCAACATGTCTAATAGTTCCATCTGCCTTAATCTAATCTAAGGAGATATTGCTTCTCCCATATGGCATGCCAAACTGTAATCTTGCCATTATGCTAATTATGATCACATTTTTAATATTCACATAGTGCTTTTCCACTATCATTTTCAAGACCATCTATCCAGAAAGTTATTTAACCACCCTTCAATCTAAATTTTAGTTAAATATTACAGCAGCTACCGTATGAAGGAAAACATATGCAGTTGAGCTTAGTTTGTGTAGAGACAGAGGCAAAGGGATAAAGAGGCAAACTTACTTTCTTGTTTAGAAGCATCTAAATGGGACAGAAACATCTTGGTCTTTTATGACTGGAAGAGGGGGATGACGTAAGAAAAAAAGGCAATAGTAGAAGTGTCCTGTTTTAGCTTTTGACAAACTGAGAAACGTTTCCTGCAAGAGTCACAGCAGAAGAAGAATGCCCTAATTCCTGAAAGAGAGGGAGTCCTTAACTATGCTCAGGAATAGCCCCCATTCAGCCATCAGTACTGGAATATTGGTGCTTACTCCTAAATATAGAGACAACGGCATGGAAGGGTTTGCAACAACTGATCTGAATCAGGTTTACCCCCCGTCTCAACTGATGCAAACATCAGTTCCTCCTTGTATGTACTGTGAGGTCAATTAGGAAGGGTGCAACCAACTCTGCTCTGTTCTTTCAAAGTGGGACTGTCATAGGTTCCATCTAAATTCGATTAAAGCAACAAGATTACTTTTGTATTTTTCTATGGTTATATCATGTTAATGATTTAGCTGTTACTCTCAACAGCAGGTCACCACGGTTTATTTTCCACTGCTATTCTCCTGGTATACGTACTACACTCACTTGTAATTGTACAACTACATATTATGCAAAGCCGAATAGAAAGCAAAACTTACCAGAGTCACAGGATCTTTTGGTTGGTGTACCTAACGAGACATGAGGTGTACCTGTGCATGGCCCACCTGGAAAAGGAGAATAAAGTCAGTCCCAAAACACATTACTTCTCAGCATTTGCCATCTTCTTACAGATAAACCAAATCAGAGTTATGTCTAGGGATGTACAGGTACTGAAACATACACATGTCCTGGGAATTTATGGGTGTTGAGAGTCCAGTATTCATTGAGCTCTTTGTCCTCCACCCCTTCCTTCCCATTAATATCTGAATATGACTTACAATTAAATATTAGGATGACACTTTTTTTATATGCTGTAAACATTTTGTAAGAAATATCTTTAGAGAAATACACTGGCAAAGGTGATTCTACATTCCAACAGAGCTGGGATCTCCTATGGTTAATCCACAAAAAGACCTTGGGGTGAAATCCTGGTTCCCCTGAAGTCAGTCAATAGGAGGTTTGCATTATATTTCTATAGCGCTTTACATCCCACAAGGGCTTTACAAGCAGGTTATGTAAATGGATGCAAGATCATAGACTTAATGAGTTGAACCTACTTTCACCAGGCCTAGATTTTGTCCCATTTCTAAAAATCACTTCTCCCACCATGGGAACGTACTTTTCTTTGGGTGGAATGCAATACTATTGAACAGCATACAGCAAAACTACACAATAGTTTAGGATGGGAAGAGAGAACAGCATATCCAGCTGAAACTGCTGGAAGAAGTTATACAGACATAATATTGACAAAAATGGAAGAAGTGTCATGGGATCATTAATCACCACAAGTGGTCAAAAGTTTGGTTTTACGTATAATCTCAACACAAACATATACTACATTACCTTTGTGGACAAATTTTATTTTCAGGTTCTGGACTCTTGCCCACTCATCTGGTATTTGTTTGGTGGTAAATTGCTTTTAGGCTTCCTACCATATTTCAACATTCATCATCATGGAAGAGCTCTCCAGAGATCTTGTTAAACTAACAACCCAATTCAGTATATTTACTGTGTTGCCGTAAAGCACAAATAAAATCATATAGCTGAGTCAAGACAAATTGACAGAAAGCATAACTGACAGTAATAATACATTGTAGCTTGGATAATTGGATGATATTACATACCTAGAACCTGAAACTAAGTCTGGTCTAGTAGACTTTGGCAATGGAAATACCAACAATTCAGTTTAAAGCAAGGGGTTAGTATAAGCCTGACCCCAAGTATTGGGATGTGCTGTTAACTGGGCTTATGTCTATGCTGCCAGGCAGTTTGGACTACAGAGGTATGAACTGCCATGTACACCGAAGTCCTGCACTATAATGGCCCTGTGTGGACATGAAGTAAAAGGTTTAGTTCACATTTAATGTATTCATCTTCAAATAGCACTACATTAATGCAAACTAAGAACCCTTTTGTTCGCGCCTGCAGCATCCAAATGGGAGTTATAGTGCAGCACTTTGGTGTGCAATGCTATTCACATACTTGTAGTCCAAACTGCTGAGCAGAGTACAGAAGTCCTCAGTTGTTACTAGTCATCCAATATTTCTGTGTCCTGAAATCAGCACTGTTGCTAGAACAAATTGTAGTCTTCCCTTTTCAAACCATTTCAAATCTGGACTGGTAAAAGTGACCAACGATGGAAACTAATTGTACCTTTTTGCTTCTTTATGTTTTATAAAAAGGCAGCCTGAATTTTTCTCATGTTATAATTGCACCTGTTTTTACTACAGAAATGTCAGATTTTGCTTGCCAACTCTGTTTATATTGCAAAAACTCATGGGATTATAGCTTTATAAAAGGTGACAGAAACATGGCTAACAGAGAGGAAGGCATTTTTAGTCAGACCACCTACAATTCTGCTTGTTGTGTTTGAACATCTGTTTAACTCAAGCTTCTGAAAAAACACTGAGGATCAAAGCTCTCAAAAGATTTTGAGATTTCAGAACCCAGCCTCTCATACGAGGGAAGAAGTAGATCCCACTTGAGTTCCCTGGCCCTTCAAGGTGTCCTCAAGCCGACCTGTGGAAACTAGTTCAACAGCACAATTTTTATTCCCCCTTGACAGGTCACCTTTAAAGTGATTTCAAGGTAAATCAAAATGTAAATCTAACAAGACACTGTCAAGTTCAAATCATTTAAGAATTCAGCTTCTTTACTTGTGTTAGACTTTGTTAGAATATTAAAAATGAAAACGTTAAGAGGTCAGATAATTTACACTATTAATGCTATTGTCCAAGATGCCAAGTAATGCACTAGTGTTTTGGAAAAAGGGGATGAAAGAATCCCCAAACAGACCTGATAACCATTTGAAGAGCCTTTTACAAGCTGACTCAAACACTAGTACAAAGTTGCAACATTTTGGATATTTATATTGCAAAGGAATTTTTAGAACAAATACCAAAAAAACTTGCTATTGGAAATATACAAAACCTTCAATTTTAGGTCTATTTGACTTGTCAGTGTCCATTTTAAAGAGCCGGTGCACATCCATTGTTTACATGTAAACAACAACATGGAACAGTGTGCAGTTCTAGTGATGTAATTCCATGCAAGTGTGCTTTGGTTTCGAGTGAAATACCTTTTTCATTAAAAAATGTCATTTAGTTACATTCTTTCAATTTTCATAGAAAGAAAAATTGATTTTCTACAGTGATGGAGCCTTTGAGATCAAGATTATTGTACAGTAAAATATTTACACCAGGTAGGGCTTTCAGCACCCAGGCAAATATAGGATTTTTTACTTGCCATTTTTAAGCAAAGCAGAATAAATTGCAACTATTTCTCATTCTTTTGCATTTGCTGCAGTGCAATAGGAGTTTGTTTATTGCCTCATTAGATATTATGTTCAGATAGGTCTGATTTTTTGTATTGCATAGTAGTAGGGCTTCAACAACTAGTAACTTGGGATTTGCATGCAAATACACCAGAGTGCCTCATAACCGATGAAGTCTGCATGCCCTTTGCAGCACTTTCTTCTACAGCTGTTTTTTGTTCCACCATTAAAAGTAGTCATGCATAATTGTGTACGGTGGGCTCGAATCTGCAATTCTATGGGGAAACCATGATGCTGAATCCATTGTAATACTGACAACTAACTCAGAGATCTTTATACTATTTGAAACAGGCAGTGTATTTTTCACTGGGCTGAAATTAGTACAGTTTGTGTAGGAAACTGAAGTTAAATGACTATCCTCACTTAACCACTACAACAAGTAGGTTTACGTTAACATGTCCCTCTAAGTATCAGAATCTTAGTACCTGGAATCAGTGCTTGGTGTGTTTAACTATGGGTCACAAAATGCTCATTCAGTAGACGCACTTTGCACATGAAACACTCTAGTTGTCCAATTCTTAGCATAATCCAAATGACTGGAAGCTATTAATTGCTCTCCCTTTAAATGAAGCAGGCCCAGGGCCCTATGCCAGACCAGGTGCTCTAGTTTGGCCAATTAAGAGGGCAGAGCAGTACCTGGGGCTAGAAAGGATCAGGGAGAATCAGGGAGGTGGGAAGTTCCTGAAGGAAGCTGTCAGAGGTTCCTGGGGCAAGGCTGAAAGCAGGAGAGGGGGTTTGCTGGCTGACCTCCTCAAGCCAGAGAGCTGAAGGCAGGACAGCAGCAGAGGGAATTGCCTGCTGACTTCCAAGCTGGATCCAGAGGCCTGAAGAAGGCTGAAGCCAGGAGATCTGCAGAGGGGTTTGCCAGTTGACCTCCCAAAGAGCAGCAGAAGAGCCTCCTTGCTGGTCTTTCTGAGAGGAGAGGTTAACAGAGCAAGGGGAGTGATGGATGCTGCCTGGTGAAGATCAGGGGGAGCAGGGGGGTTGCTTCTGGGAAGACCAAGGTTGCACTCCAGCTGGAAGGACTGGGGTGGCTGAAGAGCCAAGCTATGATGGAAGACACCAGAGCATGGTATGTGCTACATCGGCAGACTAGATGTCATGGGATTTTAAGGATCACATTACTGGAAATAATAAAAGGACTTTGTTTGGGGACTTTTGTTATGCATTTTTGTCACTATATGTTTTTGTAACAAACTGGCCCCGAGGAGGAGTATTATGGAGGCAAGAAAATCTATTATGGAGCCATTAGGGGCCCCAAGTTGGGAAGTAGCATGGTAATCCTAGCGTTAGGGCATCCAGCTGCAAGCGGGTACTTGGGGGCAAGGGGGAATCATTTATAAAAATCATGAGGCTAGCTGAGAAGTCATAAGATTTTAAAGAATTTGTGATCTTTTTATGTGCCTTCTAGGGTTTTTTGTTTGTTTGTTTTTTAAACGAAAGCTGAGCTTCCCTTGTAATATGACTCCAGGAGCTGCAGCTTCAAATATTGCAAGACTCACTATGAAGACAAAAGAGTTGACAATGTCATTGGGTTTGCACAGTCCAGCACTCAAAATAAAGGGAGGGCAACTACAGAAGAGAAGCACTTTGTAACCTTGAAAATACTAAAGTACATACATATACACACAAGGTCTTGTTAATACATTTGCAATGCCTGGCTATTGTTGGCTCCTGGTATCACTAGCCCACTGTGGCTAATGTTAACATAGTGCACTAAAGACATCAATTAGGAAAAATGAATTGTGAAGCAGTCAGTCAGCTAAAAATTGCCTGTAGGTCAATAATCAAACATTTCTCTACCAGCTTCTGTTGTAACTCTATAAAATATTAATAAAAACATAAAAAATAGTTAACTTACCTATTTCTTTTGCAGATTTATTACACCTTCAATATTATTTCTTAATTAGCATGACATTTACATAACAATATAATTAATTTCTATCTACAGGCACAGTGGACTAATTAGAAATGCATAATCTCTTTTAAATACCTTGTCAATTTCACTCCATCATATTCTGGTGGCTGATTTACCTTTGCATAACTAAACATACTAGTATGTCAAAATACTACCCTCAGACAAACAATTTTACCTAAATATTAAAAATAAAGATTAAAAAATCCACTAATGTAAAATATCTAGTGACTAAGGCACTTGCTAGAATGTCTTTTAAAGTGGATCTATCAGATACAAAAGTTTGTATTTTTCTTGTTTGTCAACATTAATTTAAT